ACTTAAATTAATAAATTATTATTCTCACGTGCTGGATTTATCAACCATAATATAGAAAACGTTCAACCGCCCAGGAAAATTACGCCACGTCATACGATTAAATAAATTAAGCCGTCCCGCTGTCTTCTTTGACTTCGTTAATTTAATGGCGTAATTGGATTCACCAGTTGGTACGTGGCGTGACCGTAACGGACAAAAACGAGCGAACGAATTCTTCAAGAAAATTAAAGTCTCTGAACGTGTCTACAGTTCTTGCCGTCGGCAACAGTCACAGCGGAACACGTGGACATTTCGTGAGTGGCTGATAATACCGACGTATAACCGGCGACACGTTGTTCATTAGATTTTTTTTTTCTTTTTAGACGGTCGAACTGTTGACGTAGAAAGTTGATATCAAGTTACGTGGGATCCAAAGCAATTGTTGAAATGGATGGAATTGAAAAAATCAAGTTTGAGTAATCAGTTGAGTCGTAGAGGTTTCCACTAAACTCAAATATCAAAACAGTTTTGAGAATTTTATTCTGTAATTTAGATTACAAAATAAAAATTATTAGATAAATATAACTCCTAATATAAGAGAATTTACTTGTTATTTAATAGTTTTAATTGTATAATTTAAATTACATATTAAATTTTTGAAAAGTTTTATTAGTTGAGAATAGATTTTAAAACCTTATTGATTTAATTCGTTTATAACTAATGTTCCGAATTCTATCAGAATTTTACAGTATTTCAGCAAGAATAACATTAAGATGAGTGATATATTAAGAAATTCTAGTGTTACAACCCTTTTTAAATTCATTAAAAAAAAAAAAAAACTCGTTTATAACTTTAATTAGACAAGAATATTGAGGACAATAATTTGAAAGGTTGAGGACCAAATCAAACAATATTTTTGTAAAGTTAAGACCTAATTTTCAAAATAATGGTTCCAAATATATTCCAATTAGAAAACATATATTTTGGTGAGAAAAGAATAGTGAAGATAAAAATTAAAAAAAAATCAAAAAGAACGTGACAAATTTCGTTTGTCTATTGTATTTATTATGGCATTGAAATCAGAATCCCTCCATTGATTATGAGTTGAATTCTATCACAGTATGAGGGTTGAGGGTTGTCTGCAGCTAGTGTGTCCTCCAAAAGGGTAATGATGCATCAAATAAGTCTAACTGATATAGACTTGAGACCAAATCTCATAGGAGGAACTACCATTTTGAGGATACCAGCACCCAACTGCTACTAAAACCCTAATTGCAAGTTCTGCAACTGTTTCTTTCATTATTAATTCACCTGAGTTTTTTCGGCTATTATTCACCTAATTATTTAAGAGTTTGTTGTTTTACGTTTTGAATTATAAAGCATGAATTGTTGAATGAGTAAGGGAGGCTTCAATATTAGGGAGTTTGTCTCCATCTAATAGTTGAAGTTATGTAATTTAAGACAATTTAGATTGTACATCGCTTTTTTTATTATTTACTTAAACATGCACTTTTTTTCAAATAGAATTGATGTTAATTAATTTGTTATCAAAATGAAAATTAGGAACTTTTGCTTGTTTACTACAGCCTTTTAAAAGATTTCATCATTTATAAGCCTGGAATCTTGTGTTGGAGATTAAGATTATAATTTTTATATAAGTGTTACGATTAATAACTATTAATAATTTTTGTTCGAATTATTAAGAACTACATATACTTAAAGAGTTGTTGAGTCAATAGAGGCTTTAACTCAAGTCATTTCATTGTATTTTCCCACTTTGAGATTAGTGAAATTGGTGTGAAATTTCGTAAAGGCAGTAGGACTAACTGGTTGGCTATTTACAATTTTAGAAAGTTATCTCCATACTTTCTTTTCTTGTCCTTTCCCTTTGTAAATCCAAGTGACCTACTTTCATGCCTATTCACCTAAGTTAGTGGCACTTTATTTATTTTGTATTTGATTTTACCCCGTTTTGGTTTTGAAGGCACTCAATGTTTCCACTCTCTTCCATTGATTACTTACTCTATATATATTTTTTATACCAGTACCATAAAAATATGTAGACAAATGACAAAGGGTGGCATGCCTTTCTTCTCTATTTGACCACTTGGGGTGGTTGGGAGCACCTAACATCCTTGATCCATGTGTTTGTCCGGATCTATATTTAAAAGAACTACGGCAAAATTCGAAATTGTGACAAATTCAAATACTCCCAAATGAAAACAATGCCATAAAATGTACGCCCAGGGCATATAATCTAAGCATTGTGTTAAATAGCCTATATTTTAAACCAACTTTCCTTTTTATTATAAAAATTAAGACCATACAAGCAGTCTATTAATTTGGGTGGAATGAATTTAGTTTCTTTAAGTAAGATTTTTAATTCAAATCTTATAAATGAGGATATAAGCACTAAAAGAGATTTCTCCTTATAGGATCCAACACAACTCTACCTCAAATTAGTTGGGATAATGTGATTTTTGAAAATTAGGAGATTTAGTACAAAAGAAAAATGAAAATTAAAACTATAAATTGATAATTTTTTTAATTTATCCTTTAAAAGGTTTCTCGATGAATAAAAAAATATTTAAATCAAAAAATCTTAAATTCAAATTATAAAACGATAAAGAAATTGAGAAAATAATGGTTAATCATTTGTATGTTACTATTTTTTTGTACATATGTTAATAAGTTATAGAAGTGGAATAACCTTTTTCATTTTTCAAATCCCTTCTACCCCAACTTCAAATTTAAATTTGAAACCTCTAACTTGGATTCCAAATTCTTAATAAGTTAAGTTAATCTATTGGGGATTGTATGTGACTAGTTCTATTTATATTGAGTTTTGTACATATGAAACTAAATTTAGTAGTTAAATTCAATTGTCCTGTTTGAGCTAGAATTAAAAAAACAACTACCTATTATTGAATTTAATTTAAAATTAATTTATTAGTTCGTTTGGCATCATATATTAATTATTAATTATATTTAAAAAATTAATTTAAATATTAATAAAATTTAAAACATATAAATTATGTCAAATTAAAAATTAAGTGATACTATAAAAATAAATTTTTTTATATCATATTTTTATATAATTTTCAAGTGTCTTTAAATTAGTAAATGCATTTCATATCATAGATTTTATATGAATTAAAAAATTAATCATTTAAATAATACATGAAATTATATAAAAAATAATAATTTAATAAAAAATTATCTTTTCTCGTCAACCAATTAAAGTCTCTTACGGAACATCATAGTCTGGTTAGAGAACATAAAATATTTGAGCAGGGTGATTATCTCATCTTTCAAACAGAAACAGGATTGTCACCAAAGGACACGCCTTCTTTTCGAAGCTGTTGTCCGCAAAATTCTGTGGGTTTTGTTACTTTTTTGTTTGTCGTCAACAACTTTTAAGGTCAACTTGTACAAAATCAACTTTTGCTTTTCTTTCATTCAAAATGAAACAAGGTTTTGCTGGAAAAGTGTATTCCACGCGCAAAGTACTCACGTAACAGAGTAGCTTTTTGCTTGGTCAACTCTTACAAGCAACGCAAATTGCAAAGCATAGCAAAGCAAACCCA